AGTTCCAACAGACGTGTGCTGTAAGTATATAATATACACTGGATTTCAAAAACTTACCACGAAAAAAAAAAGGTAAAATATCTTAACGCCCTTTTTATATTGATTGCTTGTTGAGGTGATATTTTGAATACAGTGGACTGAATTAAATACATTTCAAAATTAATTTCACATGTTACTTATTTTAATGGGGCCACTAGTGAACTTAAAGTTGCATATATATGTTATATATATCACGGTATATTTCTACTGACAGCGCTGCTCTCGATAATTGAGTTTCCCCAATATTCATGCTGTAATGAAAGCTTTCGACATCTAGGTAATTTTTATTTTATGTAAATGTATTGCTTTGAAATCACCCTTTTCTAAGAAGATAATATTTTGGTCAGAAGGCTTTTTTCTCAATGGCTGGACGATAGGGTAAATTATTCATTTTCAAAATTCAGCTTTGCAGTACAATTTCACAGGAATTCAATTCTTTCATGCCCCAACTTTACTTTTTCTTTACTTTACAGGAAAACAGATGCCTCCAAGTCACAGTATCTGAGAAAACAGAACTCTCCACATGAGCCTGTGTAATACAGGCTCGTTAAAAATACCAGACCCACAAAAAAGTAAAAGAAGAAAAAACTCATGCGAACACCCAGGGCAGTAAATGAAAACTTATGTTAATACAGTACTAAGAATGAAAATTGTAGCTTATCAGTGTGTTTAAAAAGAAAGAAAGAAAGAAAGAAAGAGAGAGAGAGAGGGGGAGAAAGAAAGAAAGAAAGAAAGAAAGAAAGAAAGAAAGAAAGAAAGAAAGAAAGAAAGAAAGAAAGAAAGAAAGAAAGAAAGAAAGAAAGAAAGAGAAAGAAAGAAAAGAAAGAAAGAAAGAAAGAAAAGAAAGAAAGAAAGGAAGAAAGAAAAGAAAGAAAGAAAGAACAGAAAGAGAAAGAAAGAAAGAAAGAAAATAGAAGGATAAGAGCCTGGAAACATGAAAGTCAAGTTCCCATGGAAACAGTCTACCCACAATACAAACCTTCCATGTGTATGAGAGTTCATGTGTGTAAAAATGATGGCTGACACGTATTAAGCATGTGTTGGAGCATCGCTCTAAGTGCTTTATGTGTAAACCCCACCACAATCAGGCAGAGTAGGGACCGTTCTCTC